TGGTCCACAGAGCCTTTTCCCTGACTGCCTGGGGAGAGCCGCATCCAAGATCCCAAAGGCAGGAGGTGTCAACACCACCCAATACTCGGCTCTTGAGTCTGAGTCTGGGGTCTCCCCATCCAGGGCCGGCTGGTAACCAGGCTTCAAATGAATGAGGATATTAGAAACAGGGGGAAGAGTAGATGATGGATGGACAGATGGAGAAAGAAGAGAAAGGGAGGGAGGAAGAGAAGAGGGAAGGGAGGAAGGAAAAGGAAAAGAAAGGAAAGGAAAGGATAGTGGCGCTATGGCTCAAACTGGTAACCTTGAGCTGAAGAGCTCAGGGCCAGTGCCCAGGCCCAGAGTTCAAGTCCCACAACCAGCCAAAAAAACAAAGGAAAGGGGGAAGGGAGGGAAAGAGGAAGGGGAGAAGAATCGAGGGAGCAATCTGCCAGCAATCTGCATAAAGCTGGACCGGCTGGGTGGCCGGGCAGTCTCACCCAGCATCACTTACAGGAACATTCTTGGTGTGGTTCCGTAACAGCTATTTTATCATCACAGCAGCAACCCCGGACAGGACTATAAACAGGAGTCACGTGTGCGGCGTGGGCCACATCTCCCAAAAGCTGCTCTCTAGAGGAAAAGCTGGTCCTTCAGGGTCCAGGCCCCACCCCTGAGCCTACCACCTGTTCCCTCCCCACCCACTTCCTTCCCCGAAGGGCTGCAGGCCTGCTCTCCCCGGAGCTGCAGTTCACCCTCCTGAGTTATCCAAAAAGCCTTCTAAAGAGCAAGCCAAAGAGGCCACTTTTCGGGCTGGGAAGGTGGCTCTGTGATAGAGTGCTTGTCTTGCATGCATGAGGTCCTGGGTTCGATTTCTCAGCACCACATAAGCAGAAAAAAGCCAGAAGTGGGGCTGTGGCTCAAGTGGTAGAGCGCTAGCCTTGAGCTGAAGAGCTGAGGGACAGCGCCCAGGCCCAGAGTTCAGGCCCCACGATGGGGGGAGGGGGGGTGGATTGAAAAAGAGGTGACTTTTGAACTCTTCTTTCAATGACTAGAGAATAAAACTGGTGCTTGGACCTGTGGGAAAACGCACCCAGAAATCATGGCCATTAGCCTTGAACCTCTAGGTGAGCTGTCCACATGTGTGTGACCTCCTGGGGTTCTCAAAGGTCTTCATGAGGCCGCACTGCACACGCCTCCCGTGACTCCATGGTGTGGAGCTGTGTGTGTGTGTGTGTGTGTGTGTGTGTGTGTGTGTGTGTGTGTGTGTTGGGGGGGGGCCAGAGCACTTTGGACCTCCAGCTGGATAGACCATTGGTCCTGAGGAGAGGAAGGAAGACCCCACGGCCCCCCTCCCAGCTGGAGGAGGGACCCAGGTCTGGAAAAGCCAGAGAAGTCTTCCCTGAGGAGGCTGGCAGCTCTTCCTGCCCGGGCCTGCTGGAATTTCATTAACTTCTTCACGCTGCGCAGATGGGAATTTAATAATTAATTAGAGAACAGCTCACCCCAGAGCCCAGGCAGGGAGATTATGCAAATCACCTAAGACGGTGGCAGGGGGCTGAATATTTTATAGTGTGTTTAATTTGCAAATATTACCCACTGAGAAGGCTTAGCCAGGAAACTATCGTAATAATTATTATTACTACTCATGCAAAACTACTTGAGTTTCCATCAACCCTTCTTCCTTTCGACTGTGTTCACTGAACACTACACACACACACACACACACACACATATTAAATATAATATCTTTTAAAAAGAAAATTAGAAAATAAGTGAAAGGGAAAAAAAAATCTATTAGGAATGAAATGAAACCTGTCCAGATTTAAAACAAAAAACATTAACCTGCAACTCTACATTTTGCCCAGTGTATAACTCCTTGAACACTCAAGTATTTTCGACTCTGGTCATTTTTCTGTTGCACACTCTCTGGGGCCCCCCCACAGCTAGGAAGCCCAGTACAAATGTCAAGACGTGAGTTTCTTCCTTGCAAACCCTACAATCTGCATAGTGCTCCCCCAATTTCCTTCTGACAGAGTCTCCTCTGCCTAAATAAGCTGAGCAATCACCCTAACCGCTCTAGCTTGTGTGCAAAGCAGACTAAGAGAATTCCACACCCCAGAAGTTCCAAGCTTTCTATGTACTCTTCCACCCACCTCAGGTTGAAACCTCAGTCGACCAAGTTTAGCAAACTACTCTCTAAAGGGACAGACGGTAAATATTTCAGGCTTTCTGGGCCATACGCTCTCTGTTGCAATTTCTCAATGTCTCAGCTGCATGACACAAAAACAGCCCCAGGCAATATGTCAACAGATGAGCATGGCTGTGTTCCAATAAAGTTTTATTGACAAAAATAGGGTGGTGGGCCAAGTTTGGCTGCCAGTCAAACCTTCTGTCAGTTGATATTCTGCAATTTTCTTAAGACTTTGTGCAATTTTGTTTTTTTTTAAGTCACCCTCTGATTTCTAAGCATATGTATTTGCAAACTCAAGAGGGATTTTAATAAACCAGTGTTTCTGACTGGGGAGGGGGGTGGGATCTGGTGATACCCTTAGGGTGATGTCTGCGGACATGTAACTTGTGCAATCAAATGGGTACTGAGCTTAAACGTAGCCCAGACCCATACTTGATTTGAGGTTTTGTTGTTATGTCTTGAAATTCTCCCCCTAGGAGTGGTGGGGAGAGGGACTGGGAGAGGAAAAAGTGAGAGAAATTGAGGAAGTGACACTGTTCAAAAAGAAATGCATCAACACCTGACTTATGTAACTGTAGCCCCTCTGGACATCACCTTTACAAGAAAATTAAAATAGAAATTCTCCCCTCACCCCCCCCATTTACTTTTGCAGTGTTGGGGATAGAACCTTGGGTCTAGAACCTCCTACATTCCACCACTGAGTTCTGTACCCCACCTTCAATCCTAAAATTCTTAATATTTGTTTGTATATACCAGGCCTGTTGTGATACCACTGACACAGAATTTCACAGATTTCTGAAATGGAATCTCACAGACTTTTCTGTCCACACTGTCCTGGTACTAAGATCCTCTTTAGAGGAGTTACAGAAGCATTTTCTACCCAGGGAAACAATTCTTTCCTGATCTAGGCATTTCTGATTGTGTTCTGCTCACCAAAATAAACCCCCTGCTCCAGCCACTCCCAGTTCGACACTGGTGAATGGATCCGCTTATTGTTCATTCTACATGAGTCATCTGTGCAAGTGGAATAAATGTGTAAGATTCAGAAGCGTTCGGCACAGGTGAAACTCACCGGTTGCGTAGCTCAGCTCAGCTCAGCTTCCCAGCTTTCTGCTTATGTCCTCATGGCCCTTCCGCAAGCATTTTATAATCAGGGCCTATTCCTCTGCTTCGATGCTCTTTTCTCCAGGGACCCCCAACTTTTCAAACAAGGTCTGCAACCATTCCAAGACCCCCAGCTTCTACCCCTGTCCTGCCAGAAGAGGTGAGTGCAGTTCTCCCCCTTCTTTGGGATTCTGGCTGAATAGAAGTTTTATCCTATTTTCTCTTCCCTTATTTCTCTCCCTCTGTGCTCTTTTGTCTCCTTGTGGTATTATGGCTCTATTTAAGTGCTCCGTTGGGACTTGGTACCTGTCAGTCATTGAGCACAATTAAAAGCTCTGGGACCACACCTCTCCAACGTGGGCTGGTCCCTGGCTCCATGCTGTCAGTTTTAACTTCCAGCATTGATTTTTGAAGGGCCAGCCCTTCGGAGGAGCCGTGAGAGGAGGTGTGGGTGACCACGATGATGTTGATCCATTATTGATGCCACCTGCAAATTAACGAGAGCCAGGCAGAAAACATCCCCGAGAGAATGATGAATTATTTACCGGTATTTAAGCCCTGTCTGGCTGGAAAGATCCGGCTGGGACCCCAGCTCACAGCGGATCAGGGCTCAGGAGAGTAGCAGGCCCCTGCCATCTTTGGGGGTCTTTCTTGCCCTTTTTTTTTGCGGGGGGTAATGTGAGGGCTTTGGGATTCGAATGTACGTGTCCTGCCATTTGAGCCATCCCTTGTGATTTTTTTTTTTAAGGTGGGACTTGAAATTGTTGACCAAGACCTTTGTGTCCGAATGCAATCCTCCTCCACCGTAACTGTGCTTCTAGCCATGAATCTTCGCACCTGGCTTGTTGGTTGAGATGAGGATCTTGCTAACTTTTTACTTAGGCTGGCCTTACACTGCAACCCTCCCCAATCTTCCTCTCCACAGTAGCTGGGATTGTAAGTGTGAGCTACTTCTCCCTGCTCTTCTTGACCTTCCAACTCCACCAGGATCAGGCTTCATCCCCGCCCCCCCGGGGCAAGTTTCTACCTCATCCGCCCAGGAACAAGAATGAGACACACTGTGCTGCTTGTGCCTGAAGTGGCAGGTCATCTCTGGAGAGAAGCCTGTGTGGGTCTGGCTTCCCCTGGCACTGTTTCTATCCTCCCACTATGGTGGGTTGGTAAAGGGCTGCATGGGAGATACTGTCGCCACCATTTCCTCAGGTCTGCACCGCCTCCCAGAGCTGCTCAGTTATGATTTCCCTCCTAAGAACCAAGCGTATCTGCACCATTGGTTCATCGGACACCCAGGAGCTTGGAAGGCACACACGTGTGGGGATTAGCCCAGGCGACAGAACAGCAAAGCAACCAGACTTCATCCTGTTCTCGTGATGTTTACAAACCTCGTCCTGCCTCCTCCCAGGGCCGTGGGTCTGTCCACCTCAACACGCTCTCTCCTGGCGCGTGTGTGGATCTGCTTGAAGGCGGTACTGCTCCGTCCAGTGAGAAGCAGCACATGGGCACAGTCTGTGGGTTCATCCTGCCGAAGATTATGCTCAGATATTGTTTTGTGAATGCATCTAAACATGTTATCATTGCGTATAGCGAGTGTATGTTTTAGGAAGACACACATACACACACACACCCCAGATACCACTAAGGAATGGAAGCATCTAGGCTGAAGATGTGAATTTTGAAGCCTGAGTACTTCGAACAGTAGAGGGTGGGGTCTCTCCTGGCGAACATGCAGCTGATTGGTCCCTACCTGCAAATCTGCAGCCCATTGGTCCCTACCTGCAAACCTGTAGCCAATGAGTCCCCACCTGCAAACCTGCAGCCAAGTGTTCCCACCTGCAAACCTGCAGCCTATTGGTCTCCACCTGCAGGCCCCAAAGCCCTGGGGCCAGGCATCACTTCACACTTCCTCAGCCTGGAGCGCATATCTCCCCCCTAGGATTCTAGGGCTTGAACTAATCGTTTGACAAATGCATTTTAAGATTTTATGTTATTTTTTTGGTAAATGTTTAGGCTTTTTTTTTTTTTCAGCCACATCTGATTTTTCTCCATGAGATACTCAGAAAGTACGAAAACTAATGTGAACGCATGCTAAATGTTTAAGCCTTTAGGAGCGGCCGTGACGTCCGGCTGCCAGTCTGTCTTCTCCGAGACCAGGAATCTTGGCGGCTCAGCAGAGCTGGCTTTCCGGCTTTCCTGTCCCCTGGGTGTTACCTGGCAGAGGGCCACCGCCTGTTCTCCTCTGGAGGACTTCCTACCCTTCCTGCCCTGCTCTCCGGGCCTTCCTAACTGATTAATTCCTCCTCCTGTGACAGGTGGCCGACAGCCCTCCCTTTGAACTGGAGAAGGGTTCTCCCAGCCCACGCTCTCATGGAAAGCCATGGATTCAAAGATACGTCCGGAGCTGTGCTGGAGTTGAATCTTTTTCAGACTTGGCCCTTCCTGGTAACCCAGGTTGACTGATTTTATTTATTTATTTATTTATTTATTTATCATCATCATCATCATCATCATCATCATCTTAGAGATACTGGGATTTAAACTCAGAATCTAGTATAAATTTCCCAATTTTGCCAGGATCACAGGAGTGTGCTACTGCACCCATCTTCCCTCCATTGAAATGGAGTCCCTTGTACTTGGCTGACTGGCTGGCCTAGAACTGTAATCCTCTGCATCTCAGCCTCCCAGGTAGCTTAGAATGACAGGTGCGCCTCAATGAGCCCCGCTACCGTCTGAGCGGGCATCTCTTGTGTTTTTTCTCCCTAGGCTGGCCTGGAACCTCGATCCTCCCAGTTCTAGCCTCCCAAGTAACTAGGATTTACACGTATGATCAACCGATGTCCCGCTAAACTTTGAAAATGATTTTAATTCCATTTCCCAAGACCTTTTGGTCCTCAAACCACCCCCAACTCTGGTCTCCGCAAGTGCCCTGTAAAAACCTTCTCAGCGCAACCACAGAGAGATCATCCACCCACCTGGTTGCAGACCCAGGTTCTTCCTGCAGATGTAGGGCTGGGAAACCCTCAGGCCCACTGGGCCTTGTAAGACCGAGATGGGGAGCTCAGCCAGAAACCAGGACAGAGGCGGATTTAGCTGACCTTGCCTCTGGCATTTCCTAAGGTTGCTGCTTCAATGTAATTCTGAAGAGGCTATCTGGAGAGGAAGGGGAAGTTAAGACGGCCAAAGCCAGCTTGGCTTGTCCTGTCACCTGAACCGCAGTCACTGTGTGACAGAGGCTGTAAGTCAAACCCAAGATTGAGCCTTAAACCCAGGAGACTGTTCTCCCAGGAGTAGGAGACGGGGTCCCCCCACCCACCCATAATGCCTCTGAAGTTCTCCCAGCAGCAGGATTCCTGAGAACGACCACCCCCAAGACACGGCATCCATTTAATTGACTACATTTATTTTTCAGTCCTGGACTCTAAAAGCTCCCCAGGATTCATTCCCCGGCCCCCTACACACGCACACTTGCGCGCACACGCACATGCGCGCACACGCACATGCACACACACGGGGGAAATAGAAGAACTGCTTTTTCACTTGTATTTTTTTTTGTTTTTGCTCTTATTTTTGTGTTTGCTAAAATTAAAAAATCCCACGTCCAGACCCCGATTCTTTCAAAACAAGCAAACGAACTTCCGCTGGGCTAACTGGCAGTACATTTATTTTCCCAGGAAGCCTCAAAATTCCCAACATGACTTGATCTCAAGAGGCGCAGAAGGAAAGAGGAAAAGGAGAACCAGTATTTGAAGAGAGGTAGCCCCTCGCTTTTCCAATTTGGCTTTTCTTCCAGAATTTCCTCAGGCTTCTGGATCACAAGCCTCTTCGCAGTGCCAACGCCCCGGGTTCCCAGGGGCTCCTCACTACCTGCTGTCCCCAGCTCTGCCAGTCCTGGCCCACTTGAACCTGGCACCTTCTTTAAGGCTACACAAGGAAAGCCTGGCTCTCACTATAGCTGAAAGAGCTTGGGGCTCTGAGAACCCCACTTCCCAGAACGACCAAGCCATCACAGGCCTGGTGACGTGGCCAGCCTATTACCTAAAGCACTGTATGAAGTGGTGGGGAATTTTTACAGATCCCTGGGAAATAGCAGCATAAATATGCATTTGCTAGCCTTTCACTTCGCCAGGAAAGGATATTCTTAGAACAATCACTTTGCCAAGTCCCTGGTAGCTCACACCTGTAATCCTAGCTACTCGGAAGTCTGCAATCTGAAGATGAAGGTCTGGAAACCAGACCAGGCAGGCAAATCTGAGAGACTCTTACCTCTGATGAGCCAGCCAAACGTCAGAAGTGGAGATGTGGCTCAAGAGATAGAGCACTAGCACTGAGCAAAAGAACTAAGCAAAAGCACAAGGCCCTGAGTTCAAGGGGCAGTACTGGCCAAAAGAAAGGTGACTGGTGGTCATTCAGAGGTGACCCAGGGAGTGAGTCCTGTCCATCCTCTTGACCATTACAGTGGGGATAGGAGAGGGCTCACTTGGCAAAGAGTCCCCGAAATCAGCACAAAACAACCAATTTAGCTCCTCAGTGGGAAAGTATGGCACCAGACTGGAAGGTTGGGGGGGGGGGGAAGCTTCTCTAAGGAGGAGATGTTGTCTGGAATATAAAACATGAAGAAGGAAAGCGATTGGTTGGCAGCCACCCATTAACCCAATTTCCAGTCCAACTCTTCTATTTCTAGACAGGGAAACTGAGGCCCAGGAGCTCACCACCCTATCCGAGATCCAAACTAGTCACAGAAACCGGCCATCCACAATATCCAATCCTGCTAAACCTCATGCACTTCGTTTCTATCTCGCTTAAAGATTATCCCACTACACTCAGCCAACCACGCACCGAATATTGAGTTGCAAACCACATCCCTTCAGACCCCAGACATAAATAAGTGTGTCTTTAATACAGATGATGCCTTGCCACTTTTTAATCCCTAAAAGGTTTCATCCTATATGGAGGAGGGGAGGGGAGAGGGGGGAGGAAAGGAAAGGAAAAAGAGGAAAGGGGGAAGAGAAGAAAGGAGAGGAGCAAGGAGAGGGGAAGGGAAGGGAAGGGGAAGGGGAAGGGGAGGGGAAGGGAAGGGGAAGGGGAGGGGAAGGGGAAGGGAGAAGAAGAGAGGGGGAAGGGAGAGTGGGAGGGGAGGGGAAACAGAGGTCATCATCCCCTCTGACTCGCGCTGGTGCTCTTTTGGGCGGGTGCTCCGGTTCCCCGGCTGCCTTCGGACTCAGATTTACACGTGACAGCCGTGTATGCCACAACCAGCGTCCTCCTCCCCACTCCCCCCGCCCTGGGAAGCAGGGGGGCTCCCTCCCAGGATCGGGGGGCTCCCAGGATCCCCGGAGATTTTCCACGGTGGACACGGCTGCTTCGCCGCCGCAGGAGGGAAAAGATGCTTGGGGGAACCCGGGCGCAGGGTCCCGCCCCCCCGCCGCGCTCCGCCCGCGCTGACCGCAGGTTACCCCGGAGAGCTGGGCCCGGGCGGGCGGGGAGGGCGTGCCCGGCGGCCCCTCCGGAGCGGCGGCGGCGCCACCCCGCGTGCCAGGGGTGTGTTCCCGTTAACTGCGCCCAGTTCACACTCGTGGAGCGCACAAGGGCGCGCCTGGGCAGCGCGCGGGACGTGGCTCGTGGATGTACACACACGACCTTCTCTGGGAGCCTCGCCTGAGTCCCCCCTACCCACCCCCGCCACCCCCGTGCCCCCGGGGTGGAAGACGCCCTCCGCGCTCCCCTGCAGGGGCCGGGGAGGCGCCGGGGTCTGCGCGCGCGCGCGCGTGCGCCGCCCACCGGGGCGCACGGGCACGGCCCGGGCCGGGTGGGTGGCGTGCGCACCGGCTCCCCATCCCCGCCCCCACACGCCGGGGCGGCTCGGCCGGGGTGGGGCCGCCGAGGGGCGGGGCGGGGCGATCCGAGCCCGGACCCCACCTCTCACCCGCCCCCTCCCCACCCACCACCCCTTGGCCGAGCTGGAGGAACCCGAGAGGCGGCGCGCAGGGGGCCGGGCGAGGCGGGGGGCTGGCCCGGGCCGCTCCCCCCTCCCTCCCCATCTGCAGTTGCCTGGGCCGCGCCGGGCCGCACCGCCCGAGCCTCTGGGCCGGTGGCTCCCGGGCCGGCTTCTCCAGGCGCTCGCCGACATGCAGCCCGGGAGCGGGCGGTGCGTCCCGGGCCGCCCCTGAGCCGGCCAGGGGGGAACCTCTCCCCCCGCCCCGCGCCTTCCTCCACGCGGGGGCGAGCGGACGCCGGTTCCCCCCCCCTTCCAACCTCGCCCAGGGCCCCGGGACCCCGCGATTGCGCGCCGCCGGGCCAGCGCCACCCCCCCCCCGCGGGCTGCAGGGGCTCATGCGGCCGCCAAGGTAAGCGCGATCACCGCACCGCGGGGCCCGGACCTCCGTCCCCCCGGGGACCTCCACCCCCGAGGGGCGCCGCCGGGTCTCCCCTGGCCCCGATCGGCCTGCAGCTCGGCGTCGCCCGGGTCGCCTTAGCTCTTGGCGGGAGGAAAGTTTGCGTGGTTCGGGTGTTTATTCTTCTCTCCGCCCGCCTCGCGCCCCTCCGGCAGCCCCGATGCGCTCCGGGCGGCCGGCGGCCGTGCGCGCGCCGGGGGTTGGGCGGACCCGGCCCACGGGGGTCCCGGCGCGGAGCGGCTTCTCTCGGCCGCGGACTCCGCTTTTGGGGGGGGTGAGGAAGGGGGAGAGATGTAGGGGGGTCGGCGTCCTTTCCCTCCCCCGATCCCCAACCCCGGGCCGCGGACGCCGCTGGGCACCTGGCGATCCCGCCGCGAACCCCTGAGCGGCCCGCGGTACCCGGGATTGCGGAGCCTGCCCGGGAGGGAACCGGGGGGGGGAGGGACGGGGCGCCGTCCACGCTCAGGTCCTGCCCA